AATCTTTACTGTACAGGCAAATAAACATCCAAATGAAATGAATTATATAATTAATTAGTATATAACTAATCATGTACATTAAAATGTGAACGAGTGTCCTGTTAACAAAACAGTATTCATAACATTTAATAACCTTTGATATGAGTAATATATGTATATTAATAGAATCTATTAATATTAAATTACTGTTACATATGTACAGAATACATTTATTTATTAATGAATAAATGCATGCACAGCACTGACCTTTTCTAATTTGAACAGGATTTTCCCATACTCTGCCAAACATGTTTGGGAGAAAACCCTTACATCCGGATGGTAAGTTGAGTTAGAGTAGTTTTGCTTATTAGTTTCATTATTAATTTGATCTGAATTCAAAGGAAGTTGTGTTTTTTGTATTTAAACACATTTTCACTTTGTACCTGCATTTGTTTTAACAGACCAAAGAGAAATTTGGCAAGGAGTGCAAGGTACTGCTGCGTTCATCCTCTCGAAAAAGCTAAATGTTGTCTTGATAGGGTTCCACAGGCATTTCCAATTGTTTTATGCCATAATTTTATATTAATTCCAAAGGTTAGTACCTGTTATACAAATAATAAAAATAAATTATCAAAATTCTTATCCAGGTCTTAATGAAGTCTTGGAAATACATTGGTCAAAAGTGTGGGAAGCCTGTCTTGAAAAATGACACCACATATTTTTTGCCCCACATTTTGGTACTGCAGCATTTTAATCTCTATACTTCCTATCCTCTAGATCTGTGCACGTCCCTTCACGGTGTTCCGCTGGTGTCCTGGGGTCAGGATGCGCTTTAAGAAGACAGAAGTGTGTCAGACCTGCAGTAAAATGAAAAATGTCTGTCAAACCTGCCTTTTGGATCTGGAATACGGTAATGCTTTAATTTGTGGCCATAGTCTAAGTATCTGTTAGTAAAATTATTTTGACATTAGTTTGTCAGGATACTTTGATACAATACCTTGAAAAATACAGATTTTCTGTACCACATGAAGAACTCATACCACAACATTAAAGGCCCATTCAAGCATCACTGACACGTTGCGTTTCCAAATGCATGTTAAAGTCACAGCATATGCAGAGATTGAGTTTGCTGCATTTAATGTTAACCAAGCTTCTCTGAGATGCTGAAAACAACAGATGTCGCGCTGCTTGCGTGTAAGAACACAGTGATGTGTTTCATTTGGATGCAGTGGAACAGACTATCTGCTTGCTTAATTAAAATGCAAGCTGCAGTGTTTTTCTGTCAACTTGTTGACCGAGCATTGAAAGGTTGAACTGATATGCATCAAAAAATAAATATTTTTGACAACACTAGCTGACACATTTGCTGTATCAGTAGTTTGGACATATTTTTGGTATTTACTTCACATGATTGCACAAGGTGAACTTTTATCCAGAAAGCAGAATATAAATCTTTAGAAACTCGCACAATCCTAATTCTAACATTCTTACAGGATAATTCAGATAATTGTGTGTGTGTTTTTTATAGGTTCATTCAGTAAGAATTTTGCAGTGTTGTAAAGATTACTAAATAATTTTTTGTTTTTTGCACAGGTCTGCCCATTCAGGTTCGTGACACTGGGCTATCCGTTAAAGATGAAGTACCGAGATCAGACGTAAATAAGGAGTATTACACTCAGAATATGGAGAGAGAGGTAATGCAAATACTAAACAGCTTTAAGTAATATGTAAGCGTATCTGTGGGTCAAATAATGATGTTTGCCCTGTAGATTGCTAACTCTGATGGCACAAGACCCGTGGGGCTGCTTGGGAAGGCACCGAGCAGCAGTGAAATGCTGCTGAAACTGGCTCGTACCACACCGTATTACAAGAGGAACAGACCACACATCTGTTCCTTCTGGGTGAAGGGGGAGTGCAAGAGAGGGGAAGAGTGTCCATACAGGTGAGCAACACCTCAAGAATCTCTTATGGGTGTAAAATTATGACCCATGATTCTTAATTTCACACTGTGTTGTGTCAGAAAGCACCCAGTGTTGGTTGTTACAATTTTCATTTTGGTGTTTGTGTCTTGCATCAAGTTGCTTGCTTAATAAATCTAATGCATTTTATGAAGTGACTTCTTTTAATGAAATATGCTTAAGGTTAGTGCTGGGCGGTATACCGGTTCATACCGAATACCGGTGTTTATTTTTGTTATGATATGAATTTTTAAAATACTGCCATACGCCATACGTATGTCGCTTAAACAATGTTCGGAACGCGACACTGTTTGAAAGGGGTCCCTTTTCACTGTTGCACTGTGGTGAGGGAACAGCTGTATGTGTTACTAAGCGTGAAAGTTCCGAAACTGAAGCTGTAGAACTAATAGAATGTGATGACACAGAAGAACTCATCCACAATATCCACATTGACCCCACAAATATCCACCGACACCCCTGCCATCAGCTCCCGCGTCTCTCACACACGAGCGCGACTTCAGCACTAGATTTAGCAACTTTCAGACCCACTAATTATGCAAAGAACCTCTCTGCGCTGCATGAGACAAAGTAATGTAGCCAAAACAACCGCATAGCCGCTCTTTAGTGTAGATGCTTGTTGATTTTATCAGACGATGCCGCGATTATAAATGAGCTCAATCAGTAGAAAATATGGTTAACCCCCGGTCATGCATGAAAAAAAAAATACACAGTCATATACCGTAAAAACGGTCTAATTTTGAAAAATACCGTGATATAAATTTTTGGTCATACCGCCCATCACTACTTGAGGTGTGAATTATGTATGAGCGATGATGACATTTTTGACATGAAATACATTGCTATAATATCACAGGCATGAGAAGCCCACCGATCCAGATGACCCATTGGCTGATCAGAACATTAAGGACCGTTTCTATGGCATTAATGATCCTGTGGCTAGCAAACTCCTGATGCGGGCCTCCTCCATGCCCAGACTGGACATACCGGAGGACAAGTCCATCACCACACTCTACATCGGAGGGCTGGGAGAAGACGTTACAGACTCTGAGCTCAGGTAAATGCTCTTCAGAGTTCATAAAGCTAAAACTATTCAAATATGTGTTGAAAATGTTCATTGAAGTATAGAAATATTGTCTTGGCAACCAACTGCAATAAGTATAATTACTAACTGGGAATAAATAATGACTAAAACTGAAATAAAAATAAATGAAACCAAAATAATGTATTTTTGAAAAAGAACAACCGCTTTGTGTCATTTCTTGATTAAAGAATCCTGTTTACTTTTTCCAAAAGGAACCACTTCTACCAGTTTGGGGAGATTCGAACCATCACCATCGTTCAAAGGCAGCAGTGTGCTTTCATCCAGTTTGCTACACGGCAGGCTGCAGAGACGGCTGCAGAGAAGTCTTTTAATAAACTCATCATTAATGGACGCCGACTTAATGTTAAATGGGGCAGGTTGGTGTCTAACCGTGCAAGAAAAAAACTGATATTCAAACAGTACTGTTTGTGTGGAGGCAGTTCTGAATGTTGTTGTGTGTCGTTCAGGTCACAGGCGGCTCGAGGAAAAGAGAAGGATGGGGTGACGGAGAGTGGAATCAGGCTGGAGCCAGTGCCCGGCCTCCCTGGTGGTATGTGACGAAGTCTCTTACGCATGAGCCTGTTTTATATAGTAATATAATATGAATGTGAATTGTATGGATTGCTTTTATACTTAAATATTTATTTATTGTGAAGTTTTTGTATTAATTATTATTTAATTAAATTGAATGTCATTTAATTATTTATTAATTTAATGTAATTCACACAAATTAATTCATTTGAATTTATTACTATTATTAGTTTATTAATTTATTTTTGGTTCTGGATCTTTCACACTAGTAAATTAAATTAATTTACAATGATAATTGTTATTTAAGATAAAAATAAAAATTTAAAGTATATGTATATGTACTGCTATATAATAATAATAATAATAATAATAATTGCTACTACTAATAATAGAAAAACTACTTTTTCTATATACTGCTTTTACAACGGAATACAATTGTTCCAAAATAAATTGAATGGGGGGCCACTAAATATTATATAAGGTAGAGCAGTATGTGAATTTTCCCTTTCTCATACTTTTTCAACAGCTCTGCCCCCACCCCCTATGTCTGATGAAGATGCCTCCACCAACTACTTCAACCTGGCTCCCAGCAGCTCCCCTGCTGTCATGAACCTGGGACTTCCTCCTCCACCTGGGGTTGCCATGCCCCCACCGCCTGGTGAGTTTCACCCCACTCACTTCCTCCTTCCTGTTTTTTTGTAACCTATGATAATGTGCTTCACTATCCCGTTAATCTTATCTGTTCTCTCCAGGTTTTGGTCCTCCTATGTTCCACACCATGGATCCCATGGCCCCGCCGATGCCCCCTCCAATGGTCATGAGGCCCCCCGGACAGGTCCACTACCCATCCCAGGATCCTCAGCGGATGGGCGCCCATGCAAGTCGCCATGGAGGCCCTTAGATAGTTATACAGCTACCTCACTGTTCAGCAATGACTGCTGAACAACTGAACCCAGAGTGATGTCACCTCTGCCCACATTTTTAAGTGTTTATATCTGTCACTCATTTTCACAGCAAGTGTAAGAAGGAATGCGTAATGAACAAGGAAAATATTGGAAAAATACCAGCATCTCAGAATTTAAACCACGACAAAAACTTTTCTTTTTAAACTTTTGATTTAAAATAACCCTTGATGGTTTCTGTTATATTTTTGTCAGTTTTGTATGTAATGATATGAAACCGATATCATGCCTTTTTTTTAGGGCCGAATGACAAAGAATTGGTTGCAGTGACCAACAATTACCAAGTGGGGGCACTATTGACTATTTCATGCACCTGAAGTCTTTATTTGTTTGACACTTTATTGTCCTGCACCTCTAGAATATTCCAGGATTCTTATAACAGTTTGTGCTAGTGTCCATCTCTCCCCCTTTTTCTGTAAAGTATGACGTGTGCTGTCCTGAATTGTTAAGACTTTTTTTAAAAAAATTATGTACAGCTGTCTAGTTTGTGGTTACATTAAAGGATCTTCACATTTTGAAATATTGTGTGAACGATTGTGTAAACATGTTAATAGACAATGTACAGTATGTAAACTTTAAATTGGTATTTGATGGCTCAGCTCACAATTCACAGTAGCAATTTAGGCATCCCTCAGAAATCCAGTCCTCAATTGTAGTTGTAGTCAAAAATAGTTGCGTATGCCAGCTTCACAGATCGGGAGACTCTGCAGCGTACTGGATGCTCCAGCCCCGTGGAGTACGATTGAAATTAGGCCGAAGGCACATCCTGTCCCAGGTCAGGTGTGGCTCTGTGTGAGCCTGCAGCATCTCAAAACCAGGCAGCGGCAGAGCCCTGCCAGTGCCTGCTGTGCCACCAAACGGCGTAGGAGCTCTGTGAAAAATGACAATGTTGTTCATGTCCCTTTTTTATTGCTAAAAATAGCCCGACTTTCCCTTACAGCTGAGTGAAACAAGTCTTGTCTTTTTTACTTGACATACTGATACATGAGCCTGGACCAGCGTAAGGTTTCAAGACACAAATTCTGTTTTAAGGCCTGACCTTAAAACCAGACATTTTTGGCAGGCAGCCTTACCACGCCAGACATGCTAAGAAGTCTTTTATGTGTAATGTTACTAGTAGTGGCTGATGTCCTTCCTTAATTCAGTCACTATTTTGAGGGACCTTTGCTACTTTATCTACTTATATATAGAGACTTATTTAGATAATCATGTTTAACAGCATGATACCTGGGGGGGAAAAAACTACTTTACCCTTGTTTCCATAAAATCAGGGACCAGTCAGTGAATCTTGACAAGCAAATTGCGCCAAAAGAACACATTAGTGTCCCGTTCACTTCCATGAAGCACTGCACGTGATGCAATCAAGCCTCCCTATGCTCTCAAACTTAAATACACTAGTCAACATTTGAAGTGGATCAAAACCTTTCATCAAAGTTGTCCTAAAACCAAAATGTGTTCTTGTCTTAGGACAACTTTGATGAACTTTTTTGATCCACTTCAACTGTTGACTACTATATTTTTGTGTGTGTATATCTACAGGTGCATCTCAATAAATTAGAATGTCGTGGAAAAGTTATTTTATTTCAGTAATTCAACTCAAATTGTGAAACTTGTGTAGACTTAAACTACTTCAGTCTGTGTGCATTTAATTTATTTAATACACAAGTTTCACAATTTGAGTTGAATTACTGAAATGAACTTTTCCACGACATTCTAATTTATTGAGATGCACCTGTAAGCCAAAAGCTTCTGGTTCTTTCCCAAGCCCTTCTCTGTCTCACTTTGCTGTCCAACTGTACTATCTGAATAAAGGCAAAAATAAATCTTAAAAAATAATAAAATTATATTCTCTCTAATAATTCACATTCAATAAATTCATAATGAACATCTTTAAAAATATCTTTCTCATTTTATTAAATTTGTTTTTCATTTGTAATGCTTGACGGGATTGTAGTTCTTTCCCTCAAAGTCAAAAGTTACAAATTCTTTAACCTTTGTCTTTTTGTCCAATTTTCAAATACTTTTTTGCTTCAAATCAAAGTTTATTGTGATTCACCTCAGTGCTGGTTTGTTTGATTCATGGCTTATAACTTGTAAAAAAAAAAGTTGAAATAACTTGTTTATAAAAATGTGAAAAATACATATGAATACAAGGCATCTGAAAAAGTTGGTCAGGCACTTTTGTACTGGATTGCCATTTGCAACCCAATTTACTTCTGAATTATGTCTGAGGATTTTCAGCAAGATTTTCAATAGGAAACTAATTTGTCATCATTATTTAATAGCTTGTGTGGCCAGAACATCAGTAGAAGAAGTACATTTGTTGCATACATTGATGAATAATACACATTGGTTGTAATAATTCAATCTTGGTTTCAAGTTTTAATTTAACATTTACTTCATGCTGAGTTTACTATTGAGGGTGGAAGTATTATGTATTATGTTGTGATTAATTTGTACCTGTTGAAGCATTTGTAGTTGGCTGGGGTGAGTTTGTAAGGTGGCTCAGGCAGATGGGTACTGATGTTAGCCAACAGCGTCTCATTGTCAATGGGTTTTTCCTCCCAGGGTGATTGATAAGACTTGGGGATCACAGTGACATTGAACTTTTCTGGAGGAACCTCTTTCAGAGGCCCCCCATAACCTGTGTAAGAGAATTGAGTGACCTTCAGAATTGTCCTTTGACTTTGAGAACAACAGAATCCTTAGTGTACTCATACAGAAGTGTGCTGCATTACCAGGTGCAAGCACACTTGGGTTTCCTTTCTTAGAAACCGTGTGCTTTAGTGTGGTGACTAGGCTGTTCTTTCCAGGCTGGTTCATGTAGATTTCAGAGGTGAAGAAATCACTTCCTTTCTCTCCTTGCATGGCATTCTGGCCTTGAAGTGTTTCATCTAAGTGCTAGACAGTGTTAAAAGATCATCCATTATTACTGAACCTACAAGCTTAAAAATAAAAGGTTCCCCAAAGAACCTTTCAGTGAACAGTTCTTAAATGAACTTTTTTTAAATTATTATTATTAGTGTGAAGAACATTTTAATAATCTAATGAACTTTTTTTTTTGCAATGGACAGATACTATGAATGTTAAAGGTTCTTCATGGAACCAGAACCAGAGGGGAGGGGTTAATAGTTACTTCAGGGTTGTCCAATCCTGCTCCTGGAGGGCCTTTAGGGTTTAGCTCACACCAGGTGCCTTGGGATCTTAAAGGCCTTGATTAGCTGGTTCAGGTGTGTTTAATTAGGTCAAGAAACTCTGCAGGAAGGTGGTCCTCCAGGTGTACGATTGGACACCCCTGAGTTACTAGTAGAATTGCTCACTAAACTTCTTTAGTTTTGCTCAGGGGTGTCCAGTCCTGCTTCTGAAGGGCCTCAACTACAGAGTTCTGGCATGAAACTCTAGATGGCGCAGTCCGATAGGTCTAACACAATCTGACCTAATGACATCATTATCACATGTCACAGCTGATTGGTTCTCTTCTGTATCGGTAGCCAATGCTCAACATTCAAATATATGACTAGTGTGCTTGCTGTAGCAGTTGCAGCTTGCTTCAGAAACCCTCCGCCTTCCCGAGCTCCACCTGTATAGATCTGCTATGAGGTGATTCATGTATGCTATATGGGGGTTATTTCATGTATGTTATATTTGCAGCAGCAGTATTTCTTACATGCTCACCGCAGTATGTTATGGATGTATTGACAGTAACAAGTCTCAAGACCAAATACATTAACATTGACATGTACATTATACCATGCCAATCCCTCCGAGAGTTGTCATGACAGAACTGTAATTAAACACACCTAACTAACTAATCAAACTCTTCAGGGTGACTAGAAATTTCAAGGCTGCTGGTTGGATCTAAACTCGCCAGGAAGTTGGCCCTCCAAGAGGAGGATTGGACACTTCTGATTTTACATTCAAACAGCTTTCACAACCCATTTTACTTCTAGATAGTAAAGATCTTGCAACTCTGAGTGAAACAGGAGATTAAATGAAAAGTAAATAGGGTGGGACTTGATCTTGACTCACGAATGTGAGTTTGCAGTCGATTGTGAACCTTTTGAGAAAGGTTTTTAACATGGAGGCAGAAGGGCAAATTTAACCTCAAGACAATTTCAGCAAATTCAAAAGGTAAAACTTTTTATCCAAACATATTATTTGTTATTATTGCCACAATATTAAAGTTAACCCACATAGAAATGGTCTTGCCTATTGATATTAGCCTAAAACAATAAAATAGCTATTTGGCTACTAACATTAAAATTCATAAATTCGTAATTATATGGGTCAATAAATTGGGTCAATTCTGATTTTTATGTTGACTTTAATCCAGTTTAAGATGTCTTACATTCAGGTGTCTCTGTGCTATATTCTCCAAGGTGAACCTCTCCACTCTTTTGAGTCTCTCGTGGAACATTATAGATCCTCTGTTGGACAGCAGATTGAGCTCCTCCATCATCAGATCCCGAGGAACACTGATCTTCTTCCCCAGGTTCAAACATACTGAAGTACATGTACAGATATGTTGAAATGCATTGATATCAATCACAGAACAACTATCCCTTATGACATTACATTGCAATGTTATAAACTAGTAATTGCAGCAAACTAGTAATTACATGCCATTCTTCTGAAAGTTGATAAAAAAAACGATCAGGTTTTCATTAATACTGTATGATCATTCATAATTAATGTCATCAAAAGCATGTCTAACATTCTCTGTCATCATCTTTGCCTCTAAAATCGTGAGCACAATATGTGCGACTGTGATTAAATCATTAAATTTGACACAGGCATCTGGGTGTAACCTCAGCCTGCTGTTCGTTCAGTAATGTTTAAGAGGGTTCAGATCTTTCCCAATCAGGCGTGGATGAGTCATGATCTCCTGGAGTAAAGCATTTAGTCTCCTGCTGTCATATTACATTACAAATACCCTTACTGTTTTGGAAACCGAGTCAAAGCAGTTGAGACATGCCAGAGCAGAAAGTAAAAATTTGGCTCTCTGTTTTCACTTTTCAGACTGTTTTGCTTTTTTCCCCACACGTCACAGTGCTGTTGCTTTCAAGCTGATTTCATTGAATTAGTCTTATCCATTGAGATGGTGTGCTGTTGGAAGAAACTGAGCTTTTTTCCTGCTTCTGATGTGTCTTACCTCCATCTGTCCCCGAACACAGCTCCTGTTGCTCTTTCTTGGGTACGACAGTGTATGGCACAGGCATGGTGATAGTATCCAGCCTTCAATAAAACCAGTCCAGTAAGAATAATAATTTATTTTTTCCCAAGTAAATTAATCTGATTGGTCCCTTTCTTTGTGGTAGATATATATGTACTCCTTTGATCTCAAATCAGGCCTGAAAACACTTGTTTAAACTGAGTCGCATAGGTAGGTCACAGAACAAACAAATCCTTTGATTACAGCAAAACTTACCAATTTAAAATCCTGTGTTCGCCTTTATGCCGGTCTTGATGATGTATCCCGTCCAGAGGTAGAAATGCTTATGTGAACCCACATCAGACACACTGTGGACCCTCTTTTTGCCCTGGTTAGATCACTGTCTTATTATAGCAAGTGCGGTGTGTATCTAATGGGCTTGGATTGGCACAGTGGAGCTTCAGCGTCCGCACTAATGAAAATTTGATCCACTGGCCATAATACTAAGTGTGCAGACTGGTGACCGGGGAGGAAGGCAAGACTCGTTTCCAAGTATGTCTGCCTCTGAGGTTCAATACCTTTTGCTGCAGACATGCCAGGGATATGAGAAGGGGCTACATTTTTTTTCAGTGTTTGGCTAAATAGAGTGCTGCAGGGATAACCTATTTACGGTGGCCGAGAAGTGCAGAGCAAATCACAATTCTGAAAACAAAATAACAAATTACAAACGCAAATGCAAGTCTAAAAAACTAAATAACAATTCAGAAAGCACAACAACAATTCAGAAAACATTATAACAAGTCAGAAAACACAATGACAAATTCGAAAACAAAATAACAAGTCAGAAAACACAAGGACAAATCCGAAAACAAATTTACAAGTCAGAAAACACAACGACAAATCAGACAAACCGGAAGAGGTAGGTATAGTTTGAGACAGCGCCATTGGTTTGGGATTACTCACCGCTGACTGGACGAGACATCTGTCAATCAACGTATACAGGAAAGAACCAGCCGAAGAACAGCAGAGTCGTGGTAGAAAGTTCGGAGATGGTATTAAAGTAGCTCAGTTTAAATGTATTGTATGAATTGCCCTTACTATGGAATAAAAAATAAGGGGTGTCTATTTACATAGAGTTAAAAGTGAATATAAATCATCAGCTCCAGTGGTGCAAATGGATAAGTGCGTGCGCTTGGCTTTTTGACGCGATCGACACGGGTTCGATCCCACCTTTTGCTAAACTTTTTTTTCTCCCTTTTCAAATCTCGTATCGCATCGTAAAGGCATTTATTTTCAATAAAAAAGTAAGGAAATAATCAAAAAGTTGAAAATAAAGTATCGGGTAGGGTTAGGGTAGGTGTAGGGAGGGCTTTATTGTACCAATAATGTGGCATCCATTTAATAATTAAAATTATAATTTACACTCAATACGTTATTATTGCATACTGTTTTATAATGTACTACAATACTGAAGTGCAGATAATTGCCACTATTTGCAACAAGTAGTATACTTGATAGTAGAAATCCTGCTATTTTAACATAGTGTAAATAGGTATTTGCACTTAGTGTAAATAGCATATTGCTAAAAATACTGCTATTTTCACTTAGTGTAAATAGAATCCATTGCTAATACGAGATTTGAAAAGAGAGCGCATTTGAACAGTCAATAGCAAATACTTAAACTAGTAACAAAACATACGTACAGTTGCTGATTCAGAATCAGAATCAGAAGAGCTTTATTACCAAGTATGTTTACACACACAAGGAATTTGACTTGACGACAGGAGCTTCCAGTGTAGAAGAAAGTACAGACATAGTGCAGACCTACATGATAGTGCAGACATACATAGGAATAACACTAATATAATAAAAAAAAGAAAAATTGAATAATGTACTATATACAGAAATAGGAGTATAGGAAAAAATGTAATTGTTTAGATAAATGTACATATATGTTTATTAGTGTGCAGATATGTTATTTACAAAGTGTGCAGTTTAATATAAATATACTATGTTAGTTGTGATGAACGATGTATAATTATGAAAGATTAATTGTTCAGACTGAATATCGCTTGTGGGAAAAAACTGTTCTTGTGCCTGACTGTTCTGGTGGTCAGTGCTCTGTAGCGCCGACCAGAAGGCAACAGTTCGAAGAGAGAGTGGGCTGGGTGTGAGGGGTCCAAGGTTTTTCGGATTTGTCCTTGTGTTTTCTGACTTGTTATTTTGTTTTCGAATTTGTCATTGTGTTTTCTGACTTGTTATAATGTTTTCTGAATTGTTGTTGTGCTTTCTGAATTGTTATTTTGTTTTTTAGACTTGCATTTGCGTTTGTAATTTGTTATTTTGTTTTCAGAATTGTGATTTGTTCTGCACTTCTCGTCCACCGTACCTATTATTGTAGGCCAAACCTGAAAATAAGCATTTCATCACTTCTGGTTTAATTGTCCCGAAGGTTTTTTGAATGGGTTTTTGGTTAAATGCCTGAAATAAAGTCTGTGGATGAGATATTTTCACCTTTTACTTTTACATCAAAAAATACATCAGTAATACACCCCTTGTGATTGTTTTAAAGCTTTTATTGCCTTGAAAAAGCGTTTGCTAACAAGTGGCTAAATGGGACTACAGAGGTTGTTGGGGACATTAAACGTCATAATGTCGAACAGGTAAACTCATCTAGTTCAGCCTTAAATTTTCTAACTCAAATTTTTATGTTTTTTAAATGAAGACTTTGAAAGAGTTGTCAGAAGCTTAATGGCGGTGACGTTATTGTCGTGTGAACATGGTTTAGTTAGTTTATGTAGCCTAAGTTTACCTTTTTACTTTGTGTGATTGTATTTAGGCTTGAAAATTAATGAAAGTTGTGTTAATCTGTGAAGATTGTCATGATGATAATCAAACCTTTGTTGGTCATAGAGTTTATTTAATGCAATAATCCAAATGCCAAGGGAAAAAATCCTGTCTGGTTTTTGTGAAGGGAACCAGTGTGATGCTAACTGACAGGTTGGCCTACAAAAATACATAATATGTGAATTATTTAGAACAACAGCATTCGCTCTTATGTTACATGTTTTTTAGATCTTTCGAAAATGTTGGAAAACTTGGGGGAAAAAACTAGCATGACTAGTCTAGGGTCTTGATTGAATTAGAATCAAAGACAATCTTAAACAACTAGGGAACATTTAATGTTACAATTTCATTTCACATAATCATAAACATGTTGTCATATATAAAAATTCCAGTCATACTGAGACAAAAAAAAAAACACATAGCTTTGACATATCATCTTACACAAAATACAAGAGTTTTGCTCTGTTAGAGATAATTCTCCGGTGTGACAACTATCGAAACAGCCGAAGAAGACTATATATATTTGTGATAGATACACTGATACCTCATTCTTATTTTAGGCTGTAAATCTTGCTTGTGTGCATTATTTATGCCCTGATATGTCATATTTCTCAAAAACATGACAGCAAAAGCATGATTTATAGATTTTAAAAAAAGCTTGTCTAGTCAGAGGGCAACAAATCTCTCTGTAAGAGCATAAAGCCCCGTTCACACCAAGAGCTATAACTATAAAGAAAACAATAAAGATAACGATATTAGCGTCCACACCAGCGAACGATATCGTCTGTTTATTCTAAGCGCACGCTCGTCTGCCGCTTTAAATTCTTGAGCTCGTTACAGCAGGATGGATTCTGATTGGCTGTCACTGTTTTATCGTTCATCAGCTGGAAAAAAATCGTTTTGAAAGCGATTCCAACGATATCGTTCCTCTGTATCGTTATCATCATAGTTGTGGTGTGAACTATGCTATTCTTTAATATTGAGAACGATTTTTAGAACTATATCTTTATCGTTATCTTTATAGTTATCGTGCTTGGTGTGAACGGGCCTTAAGAGATAAGAGAGGGAAAAATGATTTGTTTTGTTTGATTTCCTGCCAGTCTCTGTGGGAAGCCAATTTACAAACAGGAAGATAGATCATTAATATATTTACAAAAAAAAAAAAAGAAGAGTTTTCCAAAGTAATTTTTTTATACGTGGTTTACATTAACAGAAGAATCAGAGCAATTGTACAAAATAACACTTGGAAGTGAGCAGATTCATTTCTTCTTATTTACAATATTGTTGCTGATCCAGTTCATGCCATCCTGAAAGTAAAAATAAATGTCTTAAACTATTCCTATAAGGGTAAAATTAAAATAAATTCACTATGTATTTACAAACCTGTACACCCTCCCCAGATACGGCAGAACAGGCCTGGATCTGCCACTCTCTGTCCCGGTACGTGTGCAGGTTGAGGCCCTCTGCGATCTCACTGGCCGGAGAGGCTGTGGCCAGGTCCTGTTTATTGGCAAAGATGAGCAATGGCACACCCTTCAGGTTCTCCTCATCGATGAGCTCCGAGAGCTCCTGTGGAAGAAGGTCAACACAGAGGAGTCAGAAAGACTGTAATCAGCACCACACAGAGGTGCCGATATGGTTGTATAGTGTGTATACCAAGGATTGAACCCAAAACTATGCCCTTAAAAAAGTCAATTGGTACCAGCAACTGTTTAATTTCCCACACTCTTAAAAATATCTTCTTTTGTGTTCAGCAGAAGAAAGAAATTTATAAAGGTTTGGAACAACTTGAGAATGAGTAAATGAGTCATGAGTGAGTCATATTTGGATGCATCCTTTAAATTAGGAATTCTCCCAACTGAATTTAATATACATTAATACATTTTGCTTAATATTAATACATTTTATCTTCAAAATCTCATTTTGTTGGCCTGATAGAAATGTGTTTCCCTGTCACTTCTCATTCCCACCTTTGTGAAGTTTTTAAACTCTGTTTTTCTCTGAAAAGCTTGCCGTTTGTACATAGGAATGCCAAGTTAATTGTTAAAAATGTCTTTTGATTTTCTCAGAAGCAAGAGCAAAGTAAAATTCCCGATTGTAACACTTATTGTAAACTATATATATATAGGTTAACTTTTTACTTTGTGCGATTATTTAGGCTTCAAAATTCATGAAAGTTGTGTTCATTTGTGAAGATTGTCATGATGATAATCGAACCTTTGTTGGTCATAGAGCTTATTTTATGCAATAATCCAAAAGCCAATGGAAAAATCCTGTCTGGTTTTTGTGAAGGGAACCAGGGTGATGCTAACTGACAGGTTGGCCTACAAAAACACATAATATGTGAATTATTTAGAACAACAGCATTCGCTCTTATGTTATATTCCTTAAAAATGTATATATACTTTTATGGAAGGGAAGTAAAAAAGTTTGTTAGGGAACAAGTCCAAAATAATGTAGCTCAGGCAAACAACTGGCATTTCAACACTCTTCAAATTAAGGAACCAATTAATGATATGCAATCAAAAGTTTAAAGCTATTAAAATATATCCTTTAAAACCAGAAAGACTGTTTTGAAAACATCTTCCTTTAAAATCATCTAATTTAGAAATTAGATACATAGAATGAGATCTCTTTTGTTCTGTGCTGACAGCTGTTTCAATTGAGTCTGGAGACTAAAGATATCCAGCCTGTGTGCATTACAAGTAAAGGAAATTAGGGGCGGATTGCTTGACGTATAAATATATCAGATAAAATGCTTTTCAAGAAATAAAAAAAAGGAGAAGCTTACCAATCCTGTTTCCTCAAATCTCTTTTTGTCTGCACTGTCAATCACATAAATCTAAAAAAGGGAGAGAGAAAAGGGACTATTAAGGAGAAAAAAGCTTTTAGACTGATACACAAAACTGAAATGTAATTACATATGTGATGGAAATACTCTCACAACATGTTCAATGTCACCGAGAAAGTTAACTTCAGAATTTTCTGCCTGAACGCTGCTGTCATACCAATAAATCTGTGTTCTCCAGGTACTTCTTCCAGAATGGTCGAATCTTCCTCTGTCCTCCAATGTCCCACACATTCAGCTTCATGCCATCACAGGTCACACTTTTAATGTTGAAACCCTGACAGAACAAAATTAGCACATGATACAGCTGTGTCTACACTCAAAAAAAGAAAAAAAAAATTAGGTTTACGCAATTCAATTAATAGTAAAATTCCATCAAATTGACTTGAATAATAATCCTTACATTTAACTGAATAACAACAATCCTTAATCAGTTATTCAATTAAAATACATAAGGATTATTTAATGACATTTTATGGAATTTTACTATTAATTCAATTGTGTGAATCTTAAAAATGCTTTAAAATTTTTTTGAGAGTATGTGACTTAAATCTTGTAATTGCAACTTTATATCACTTTAAAATTATATTGGAAGAAATAAATCTCACAATTGTGAATTTATCTCACATTGTAACTTTACTTTCCCAAAGTGACTTTAAATCTCACAATTTTGACTTTATATATCCTGCTTGTGACTTTAAATCTTGCAGTTGTCTAGAATTGTAACTTCAATCTCACAATGTGTATTCAAATCTCATGATTGTGCCTATACATCAAAGTTGTGAATTTAAATCTCACAATTATGACTTTATTTCTCACAATGTGACTTAAATCTGTTAATTGTGAATGAATATCGCACACCTGTGACTTTAAATCTCACAATATGGCTTTAATTCTCACAACTGTAACTATATATCACAATTGTAAATGTAGAAACTCACAACTGTGATGACATCTTGACTTCATATCTCACAATTTCAACTTCTCACAATTGTGACTAGATACCTCACACCTGTGACTTCAAATCTCACAATTGTGACTATATATCACATTTGGGAATATACATTTCACAATTGTGATTTGATATCTCACACTTGTGACTTTAAATCTCACAGTTGTGATATACTGTCACAATTGTGAGATTTAACTTGATTGTGACTTGATATCTCATAAAAGTGACTTTACCCTTTAAAGTCACTTTTATGAGATATCAAGTCACAATCAAGTTAAATAGTTCACCCAAAAATGAAAATTCTGTTATTAATTACTCACCCTCATATCCTTCCAAACCCAAAAAGACCTTCTTTGGAACACAAATTAAGATATTGTTTGATATTGTTGATTGTTTGTATATTCGGGTCAGAAATCCCTCAGATTTCATCAAAAATATCTTAATTTGTGTTCTGAAGATGAAAGGGGGTCTTATGGGTTTGGAACGACATGAGGGTGAGTATAATTTTAATTTCTGGGTGAACTATCCCTTTAAATCTCACAGTTTCGATTTTATATTTTGACTTTCTGTCTCACATTGTGATTTGAATCTCACAATTGTGACAATATATCACAACTGCAATTCATCTCACAATTGTGACTTGATATCTCACAATGTGACACAAATCCCAAAATTGTGACTATACATCAGTGTAATTTTAATTCTCACAACTCTGACTTTATGTCTCACAGTTGTGACTTGATATATCATAACAGTACTTTAAACCTCACAGTGTGACTTTAAATCTCACAATTGTGACTTTATATATTTCACATTGACTTAAACCTCCCATGCAGTATGTGAGGTTATATCTCACAACCCTGACTATATCTCGTAACTGTGACTTTATATTTCCTAACTGTGACTTAAATCACATAATGCGTGTTTATCTCATTGTTGAAACTATACATATCTCATAGTTTGACTTCTTATATTAAGCCTTTCTTATTTTAAACTTTATTTCACAGTTACCTTCTTAGTTTTTTACTATGAAGCAGAAACAGGCTTCCGTAATGAAGGCTTGATTAGGTCACAATGCTAATCACACACAAAACACCAGATAGAGGCACAATGTATTTAAACTCTCCTAGTCTAAATGTATCCTGTCCCTGAGCAGCCTCCAACTACTGAGACTTTATGGTTAAGTAATCTTTAACGGTGGGATTAAAGACACTGTAGTGGTGCTATTCTTAGAGAGGATCTTCTCTCCCCACAGGCCTCAGCTCTTTACAGCTTTAACTGGCTGCAGCATATAATGTCTGTTAACAAAACACATGCTAAATAGCAAATAGTCTCACATAACATCTAGGTCCCAGGATATTTTAAGTAATCAAGTAATGGTTAAACAACATCTTAAGTAGCAAGCTGTGCGCAGCAGAGTCCAAAGGAATCCATGCTAAATGTTGTGCTAACAGCCATCAGTTGCAGCAGTTCTATAAATGGATGATACTGTCAATCAATGACGCATGAATTCAGACTTTTATAAATTGATATTAGAGACTTTTGTCATATGTGTTATCTCTAGTTAGCTGACTTTATGCTAATAACTAGCACTAATATGCACAGTGATGGTGTATCAGTGCTCTATCCCTGACCTCTCAACAGTAAACAGAGTGGTAAACCAGACTGACCACATTTGATCCTATTAACTTTCTTGGAAGATTGAGATGTTATCATGTCTATTTATACAATTTACTTGGATAGTAGTTTTTTCTAGGACAGTTTCCGCCTTTAAGTGGTTAACTAGCAGTGATTGTAGTCTTTTTTTTGTCTCATGGATTGTAGGTGAAAAAACATTAAAGGGATACTCCACCCCAAAATGAAAATGTTGTCATTAATCACTTACGAACGAAGCTTTTAGGGGTTTGGAACGACATGGGGGTAACTGATTAATGACAAAATTTTCATTTTGGGGTGGAGTATCCCTTTAAGTGGATCACTTTCGTCATGCTACAATGACACATACGATTAAATAAATCACTTTTTTTTTAGGGGGTCAAAGGGCAAGACAAAATTCTTTTTTCGATGACAATTAAAACAGCTGACATTTAACCATCAGTCTTGTAAAGGTTAAAACTCTACATCATTTCTAAATGGAAGTGGTGTTCACCTCAGACTAAAAGGTTACTGTCTAAGAAGCTGTGTATTCTGACTAAATACATTTTCTGCAAATTGCATATAAAGTGAAAAAAAAATATTATAATATTATTGATGGGTATGAGGATCGATAGATTGATTTGTTTCTTTGTTTTAATATTTTAATAGTATTTTTATAGTATTTTCATAACAGAAATAACAATTGGATATAACTTAAGAATGGAAGTCCATGTTCACCCCAAACTGAAACAAAGATAATTAAGACTTTATTTCTCATAATTGTGACATATTCACTATTTCACTATGTATGTCATAATGTATTTTATATTTTGCAACTGCAAATTTATTTCTCATAGTTGTCAGTTTATTTCTCATATTTCTCATATTCTTCACTTTTTGAAAAATATATTATATTATATTATATTATATTATATTATATTATATTATATTATATTTACTTTTTTTCTCTCTCTCTTAGGCAGACCCCCAAAAAGTTACCCCAAAGTCAAAGACGTGATCATGTCATACTTTTTAAGGGGGTTTTCACTGTATTATTCATCCACAGTCTGTCCTCTTTGTCACTGATTAACCTGATTCATCCATTTTGGTTGTACAGTCAAGTGTTAATCCAAGATGCAGCTAAAGATACACATTGGTTTCGTGCCAAAGAATGACTTTACCACTATCATTTATATTATATTATATTTACTGCACCTCTAGTATACTCAATTTTTTTCTCTCTCTCTTAGGCAGACCCCCAAAAAGTTACCCCAAAGTCAAAGACGTGATCATGTCATACTTTTTAAGGGGGTTTTCACTGTATTATTCATCCACAGTCTGTCCTCTTTGTCACTGATTAACCTGATTCATCCATTTTGGTTGTACAGTCAAGTGTTAATCCAAGATGCAGCTAAAGATACACATTGGTTTCGTGCCAAAGAATGACTTTACCACTATCATTTACAATTCTGTATGGTAACAAAACTGAAGTGTAACTGTCAAATGCTTTGAGAATATTTCTACTGAATTTGTTAAACAGTAAAAAAGCGCAAGCAATGTGTTAACATTCCACACCAGCTAATAACTACACACCTTTCAACAGCCTCAGCAAATTAGGCTGAATTACTCATGAGACATGTTTTTGCCATTCATAACACATAATTAAAAAGAAAATGTACATTCTGGAATGGCAGAGGACTGTGCTGCTTTTTTAACCACATGTGTCCTGGTTGTCAAAGTAACACCTTTTTTTGAACAAGCATATTAAGAAAGTGCAAGAGCAAACTGTAAAAAAATCTAGTGCTTTGAAAGTCCCCGTGGCTGCTCTTCTCACCTGAGTTGGAGTGATGGTGTTCACATCTTCTGAGGCGAGTTGTTTTAACAAAGTGGTTTTTCCGGCGTTATCGAGACCGAGAAGAACTATCCGCAGCTCTTGCTCAGTAGTGCCTTTTAGCTTCTCAATGACTGAAAACAAACCCTTGAAAACAAACATTTGTGCCTAAAAGATCTAATTAAAGTTTCATTTTAAGTTTTAGGTACATCCATGAAATCTCATATTCATCACAATGATGTGTATAACATTAATAAAAAAGCATTCTTTGATTCAAACAGGTCCTTCAAGCAGATCAAAACACGTACCTTTTGGACTTCTCCCATAGTGCCGTGAATTTTGTGGTAGGAAGAGGATGTGGAGAGAGATGGAAAGGCGCAGCTACATTCTATGCAGGATATATCCAGGTAAGTGTTTGGTTTTCTTATCTCTCCACTGTTTCCTGGATCCTCTTCCCTCAAAAGACTTGCTCTTCACGTAACAGGGTGCAGTACCTTTCCTTCTCTATGCGCCTGGCCTTTCTCATATGTGAAATAGGGGAGGATGTGGAGGGGGGGGAAAGTGTGTG